CAAGTCTATGCTTCCTTCTTCACGGCCTTCGTACGATGACACTTTGCCGCTAAACTTATGTGCATAACCACTTCTAAGCGCCAGTGCTTTTCCCATTCCAAACTGATTTCCATACATGTTGAACCTTGGGGAACTCCCCATCATCACACTCAGTGGATCAAAGAAACTCACTTGGTACACAGCTGGAGAATTCAGCCAGCCATCAACATGTTCCCTTATCCACTTGTTATTGTGGTTAACTACAGCTTCGTGCAACTTCCACGCTGCCCATCCAAGGCCGTGATCAAGCAACTCACCAGCTGGGACAATTTCTGATCTAATCGGGTGAATTGAGTTCCCAAAATAATCTCCAGACAATGGTGGCTCTAATCTTCCTCTGTTATTCGCAGCCAACCTGCAACCAAGGTATTAAATATCGATGTTAATGAAAATATCAAGAAACAGAAAACTATTTGGGAATTCTTCTGAGTGGAATGTATTGAAGGAAACATGCCTGCAGCTGGTTCCTTGATCTTGGGGTAAACCACGCACACGAGTAATAGACCTCCACATCAGGGCAGACAAGGACTGGAAGGAAGAGATTTTGGTGGTATTAGACTCTGCATTGGCCTTTGCTTTGAGTTTGGCTATGGATTCCGAGGAGAAGTGAAACATTCTCTCCCTGAGTTTGGGAGCTTCATATCTGCCAATGAACTCATCTGAGTGTTTGAAAGGGAGATTGATAATTGGGCCATGACCATCAGGAAACCAGCGCTTGAGGACTGGTGGTCTTGAGATATTGGGTACAAAATTATTATGATCTCCTTGTGCTTGTGCTTGAAAGATCTCAGACCAAATGTTGAAGAAATGCCAGTAAGAGGTTCCATCACCAAGACAGTGATTCATGGAAAGCCCTATGAAAATGCCATCTACCAGCTCTGTGACCTGAATGGTTAGCAAGGACATAGTGTGCCCATCATGGTTGACCGCCCTGTCATGATCAAAAAACGATTGAACCACCAAAGGCACGTCAGTTGGTGAAAGAATGTCAGAAATTGACATGTCCAGAGTTGCATATATGAATTTGGCTCCAGGGCTGTTGTTGCAATCTACATATACCAAATACAAAGGCGGGTCTTCGTTCTTCTCGGTCACAAAGCGACCTGCCAATGGGTAGAAATGAACAAGTGCAATGGAAAGAGAGTGTTTGAGCCTTTCCAACAGAGAATTGGTGAAATCCTCCTGTCCCAGTTTTGCTTCTGGTGGTTTGGAAAAGAGAAGGCCCTTTTGAATGTAGTGCACAGAGAGCATGGCCAGATCACCGGGGGTCAAGTAGAAGGGCTGCTTTGATTCTTCTGAGGCATGGTGTGGCTGGACAAAGCATTCTGAAATGTATTTGACACTTGGGGAATTCATTTTACAGAAAAACAAAAACAAACAAACTCACTCGCAGTGAGCTGTTTCAATTTCTTGATATTTCCAACTCTGCTTAGCTACTCTGGTTTTATATGCAGTTGAAGACGTGGTGATCAAGGGTACGTTGCAGGCTGCAGTTCCTGGATATATAATTGTTCAATGCAAGTGTTAATTTTCCCCACTAGTGTCCGCAAGGATGAGAAGACTCAGCCACCAACTTTGGACATATTGGTCTAGGGTAGGAAAGGTGGGTAGGTAAGAATTTGAATATAAGATTGTTTTTGTTTTTATTACGTATATGCTCTTTCCTGCTCCCTTCCTTTTACCAAACCAAACAACAAAACTACAAAAGGACAAATTCATAGCTTTCTTGCTTTTAATTACCCTATTTTCATAGTTGACTTACTCCGCCCTTTGTTGCAACCATCCATCCAGTATATCTCATTAGTTAACAATCTATTACATTGAAAATAGAATTAATCAAAACTTGACCGGGTTTGGCTAATAAAACTATGTTGAATTGAATTTGTATTCTTTAATATTTTAATAATTGTTTTATTTCCCATTCACCTTAATATAACCTCATCAATCAAAATTTCCCATTTGTAATTAAAATTCTAATCTTACCAACATGACAAATGCCATGGAACTGTTCATCAAATTCAATAGTGTTGACTGTAATTGAACATTGTGCACTGATACGATAAATCTCCAAAAACTAAGATATGGGTATGATTATACGATACGATACGATACACCGATACGGCAAATCTCCAAAATCTAAGATACGGGTATGACGCCGATACAGCGATTAAAAAAAATTAATAATATAAATAGAAAAATTGATATTTCATCCTCATTCTCCCCATTATTATTACTAATATTCCCATCACTTGAAGCTAGAGCTATTACCCACACTATTCATTTCCTGTGAATCAAATGAAGTTTGATAAAAATAAAAATAAAAACAATTAATAATTTAATACATACACAGAACAATTAGTAGGCTACTAGCCACTAGGCATCCCCACCCTAATATTACCCATATAACTATTATCTAATTAACAACACAGCAAGCTTATTAAAAGAATGAGAAGAAAACCTGAAGCTGCGTAAGAAACCCACCCCACCAAATGAATCTGAGATGGTGATGGCGATTGCTGGTGGGTTCTCTCTCTTCCTTCTTCCTCCTCTTCCTTCTTTTTCGATTGCCGTCCGAATGGCCCAAAAGACCTAGCTAGCCTCTCGACAGAGGCAGAGTCTTCATTCTAAGTTTGAAGTCTACATTTTAACACCAAAATATTCAATAGCTAGCCTCCTGGAGCTGTATCATAAAGTTAACAGGCCAAAAAAGTCTACGATACGCCACGTGGCATATAAGATACATATCATAGCATACCCCCAAAAAAGGGAGCTTCACTAATATACCCAAAATATAGGCTGAAATTATATTTAAAAAAATCCACATGAAATGCACTTTAGAAACACACCCAAAATTCATTTACTACATAAGAAATTGGTGTTGAAGTTCCTATAAATTACATGACTGTCATTGATCAACTTAAAAGAAGCCCAACAAAAACAACTTAAATAGCACCCAAAACAAGCCCAGCCCAATTTTATAAAAAAACCCAAACAATTCATTACAAACAAAATGTCTTGAAAACCGTAGCTTTATTAACATGTCATATTGATTAATGGTTGTAATGTTACAGTTTATGGTAATAACACTTCCAGTTTATTGTCATGTTGATTAATGGTTGTAATGTTCTAGTCTATGGTAATAACACTGCTAGTTTTCAATGGGATCTTATTTCTAAGGCATGTCTACTCATATAATGTTCTAGTCTAGGGTAATAACACTACTAGTTTCCTATGATATCCTATTTCTAATTCATATTTACCCCTGTAATGTTTCAGTTTAAGGTAATACCACTGGTAGTTTTCTATGACATGCTATTTCTAATGCATGTCTACCCATGTAATGTTCTAGTATATGGTAATAACACTACTATTTTGTAATGTTCTAGTCCAGGGTAATAACATTTCTAGTTTATTGTCATGTTAATTAATGGTTTACTGTCATGTGTATTAATAGTTGTAATGTTCCAGTCTAGAGTAATAACACTGTTAGTTTCATATGAGATCTTATTTCTAATGCATGTCTACCCCGTGTAATGTTCTAGTGTAGGGTAATAACACTACTAGTTTCCTATGACACCCTATTTCTAATGCATATCTATCCATGTAATGTTTCAGTCTAGAGTAATAACACTGCTAATTTCCTATGATATCCTATTACTAATGCATATCTACCTCTGTAATGTTCCAGTCTAAGGTAATAACACTGCTAGTTCACTGTCATGTTGATTAATGTTTTTCTTGTTGCTATTTCTAATACATGTCCACTAAGCCGAGCTCATATTGTTAATACCATTACGTCATAAAAGGACATTGTTAATACTATGTCATAGAAGTACATTGTTAATACTCTGTCATAGAAGTACATTGTTAAACAAAAATGAGATCCATAACTGAAATAGTAAAAATAGATAAATCAATCATCAAAGCTTAGAATACATTTCGAAAATCAACTAAAATCTGAAGAGAAACACATAATTGAAGCAAAATATAAAAAATCTCAAGTCCAAACCAAACGACGATGACGACGACAATAAAGATGATGATGATGATGACGACGACAATGACATGGTGAAAGAGGAGTAGAACTTGAAGATGAGGAGTAGAGCTAAGAACATCTGATCGAGGTTCGTTCAAGGTTCCAAACAATCCGGGAAAAAAATCAATATAAGCAAGATTTTAGAACAAGAAATCGAAGATGAAATATTGAAAATTGTAGATGAGAGATGAAGAATATAGCTGGACATTGAAGCTCCTCTTGCTCCAACATCGATAAAACACCAGCAAGAAAGGAGAAAATAAAATCTGATTTGGTTTTTTGGAAGATTTGATTTTTTTTAGCAGATTTGGTTTTTTTGGCAGATCTGGACAGATCTGTTTTTTGGCATATCTAGGCAGATTTGATTTTTCTCTCTCAAATCCATAGTACAAGGGCAATATAGGTATTTTACACACACAAATAAACTAAAAAATAGCTATTTAATTTTAAAAAAATTGACAGCTGCGATTTTTGGGTTTTTTTTTTTGGGTGTGTTTATAGTTTTTAAATGGTATATGGTTTCTTTATAAGACTATGTCTAAGATTGAATATATAACTAAATTTGTACCCAAAAAACTGCCTTATCTATGCAACAGAGATTTGTGGACAATGGCAACATCCAAGAATTTGGAGCACTTTATTCTACAAATTGGTTAATAATGTGGTTAAGAGACAAAGAAGCGGAATTCCTTGTCACATTCAAAGAGCGCTTATTGTTTCCGGACAAAGAAGCAGAATCCCTTCGACTCGCCAATTCATTTCCATTATTTTTGAGTCATCCATTCCACAAGTCGTAATAGAATTCGGAATATTACCAGAATGAATCTGATAAATAGTGAAAGGCTAAAAAGAATCTAGGGGAAAATTTAACTTTGAAAAAAAAAGGGACTAAAATAAGAAAAGACTGCCAAAAAAAAAAAAAAAATAAGAAAATGTCTAAAGTCATTAAATTAACCAAAACCATGAATCCATGATGCAAAGCCAAATGTAGCAACGGTAAAAATCCTACACAACCAAAGACCAAAAACAAAACAAAAATTGCAGGAGCAGGAGGAAATTAAGTCTAGGTTCTAATTTTGAAAAAGCTACAATCACTCCAACATCAAACGAAAACTTCTGCCAAAGACTCCCCCACATAGCGAGGAAACACCAGATGCCACACTTCTCATTTATGAGACAAGGTTGTCATTCAGAAAATGAAGATAGTTGATCAGCGCTGCTGTTAGCCTGCTGTTGGGCAACATTTCTCAGGACCTCCATGGCCTCTGCCACTTTTGCCTTCAAAGCCTCCGGTGACTCGAGCAAATGCAAAACTTCAGTCAGGTCCATCTCCAGAAGCATGACTGTCACCTTAGCTGCTGACTCGTGCTCCAACTGGTCACTAGGGGATATAAAGCCTCACCAAGCATCTGTCCACCTTAGTTCATATCTTTTGAACTAAGTGCTTATTAATGGAATATTCTTTTTCTGTTCCATTTTTTCTCACTCTTCCTTCCACACACCTTTCTATCATTCCACTACCAAATTAAGCATATTCATATTCATATTATTCTCAACTCTACTTAAACATTGTGCAGATTGCATGATCCTTATTCATATGATCACTTGTCACTAATAAAGGGGTACAGAGGCAGCTTCCATGAACTCACGGTCACATTCAAGAACACTCATTGCATCAGGTGGAAGACACACCTCCAAGTCTATGCTTCCTTCTTCGCGGCCTTCGTACGATGACACTTTCCCACTAAACTTATTTGCATAACCACTTCTAGGCGCTAGTGCTTTTCCCATTCCAAACTGATTTCCATACAAGTTGAACCTTGGTGAACTCCCCATCATCACACTGAACGGATCGAAGAAACTCAGTTGGTAAACAGCTGGAGACTTCAGCCAGCCATCAACATGTTCCCTTATCAACTTGTCATTGTGGTTAACTACAGCTTCGTGCAACTTCCACGCTGCCCATCCAAGCCCGTGTTCAAGCAACTCACCAGCTGGGACAATTTCTGATCTAATCGGGTGAATTGAGTTCCCAAAATAATCTCCAGACAATGGTGGCTCTAATCTTCCTCTGTTATTCGCAGCCAACCTGCAACCAAGGTATTAAATATCGATGTTAATGAAAATATCAAGAAACAGAAAACTATTTGGGAATTCTTCTGAGTGGAATGTATTGAAGGAAACATGCCTGCAGCTGGTTCCTTGATCTTGGGGTAAACCACGCGCGTGAGTAATAGACCTCCACATCAGGGCAGACAAGGACTGGAAGGAAGAGATTTTGGTGGTATTAGATTCTGCATTGGCCTTTGCTTTGAGTTTGGCTATGGATTCCGAGGAGAAGTGAAACATTCTCTCCCTGAGTTTGGGAGCTTCATATCTGCCAATGAACTCATCTGAGTGTTTGAAAGGGAGATTGATAATTGGGCCATGACCATCAGGAAACCAGCGCTTGAGGACTGGTGGTCTTGAGATATTGGGTACAAAATTATTATGATCTCCTTGTGCTTGTGCTTGAAAGATCTCAGACCAAATGTTGAAGAAATGCCAGTAAGAGGTTCCATCACCAAGACAGTGATTCATGGAAAGCCCTATGAAAATGCCATCTACCAGCTCTGTGACCTGAATGGTTAGCAAGGACATGGTGTGCCCATCATGGTTGACCGCCCTGTCATGATCAAAAAACGATTGAACCACCAAAGGCACATCAGTTGGTGAAAGAATGTCAGAAATTGACATGTCCATAGTTGCATATATGAATTTGGCTCCAGGGCTGTTGTTGCAATCTACATATACCAAATACAAAGGCGGGTCTTCGTTCTTCTTGGTCACAAAGCGACCTGCCAATGGGTAGAAACGAACAAGTGCAATGGAAAGAGAGTGTTTGAGCCTTTCCAACAGAGAATTCGTGAAACCCTCCTGTCCCAGTTTTGCTTCTGGTGGTTTGGAAAAGAGAAGGCCCTTTTGAATGTAGTGCACAGAGAGCATGGCCAGATCACCGGGGGTCAAGTAGAAGGGCTGCTTTGATTCTTCTGAGGCATGGTGTGGCTGGACAAAGCATTCTGAAATGTATTTGACACTAGGGGAATTCATTTTACAGAAAGGAAAAAAACTCACTCGCAGTGAGCTGTTTCAATTTCTTGATATTTCCATCTCTGCTTAGCTACTCTGGTTTTATATGAAGTTGCAGACGTGGGCTGCAGTTCCTGGATATATAATTGTTTAGTGCCAATGTTAATTTGCCCCAGTAGTATATGCAAAGATGAGAACACTGATTCACCAACTCTGAACATATTACCAACTACCAACTAATATACGTATCGTCTATCCTTCACAAATTAACCACACAACAGCTTATTAAGGAATATATACAGCCATTCCCACCCCAATATTACCCATATAACTATTATCTAATTAACAACACAGCAGCTTATTAAAAGAATAAGAAGAAAACCTTGAGCTGCGTAAGAAACCCACCCAACCCATGAATCTGAGATGGCGATGGGTGCGACGGGCGATTGCTGGTGAGTTCTCTCTCTTCCTTCTTTTTCTTTTTTGGTTGCTGTCTAAATCGCCCAAAAGACCTAGCTAGCCTCTCGACAGAGGCAGGCTCTTTATTCTGTCTCAATTGCTAGCCTCTCGGAGCCGTATCGTGAAGTCAACAAGCCATGCCGGAAAAGTATCGTAAAGTCAACATGCCATAAAAGTCTCCGATACGCCACATGTCATATCGAATATGGAAAAGTATCGTAAAATCAACATGCCAGAAAAGTCTCCGATATGCCACATGTCATATCGGATATGGTTTAGAGATTTGTGGACAACGGCAACATCCAAGAATTTGCAACACTTTATTCTACAAATTGGTCAGTAATGAGGATAAAAGACTAGCAAAGAATCAGAATTCCTTGTCGCATTCAAAGAGCGCTTTTGTTTCCGGGCAAAGAAACACCTCCAAGTTCCCTTCGACTCGCCAATTCATTTCCATTACTTTAGACCCACCCATTCCACAAGTCGTGACAGAATTCGGAATATTACCAGAATGAATCTGATAAATAGTGAAAAGCTAAAAAGAATCCAGGGGAAAATTTAAATTTGAAAACAAAACGATTAAAATAAGAAAAGACTACAAAAAAATTTAAGAAAATGTCTAAAGTCATTAAATTAACCAAAACCATGAATCCATGATGCAAGCCAAATGTAGCAACGGTAAAAATCCTACACAACCAAAAACCAAAAACAAAACAAAAATTGCAGGAGGAAATTAAGTCTAGGTTCTAATTTTGAAAAAGCTACAATCACTCCCAACATCAAACGAAAACTTCTGCCAAAGACTTCCCCACATAGCGAGGAAACACCAGATGCCACAATCTCATTTATGAGACAAGGTTGTCATTCAGAGACAATGAAGATAGTTGATCAGCGCTGCTGTTAGCCTGCTGTTGGGCAACATTTCTCAGGACCTCCATGGCCTCGGCCACTTTTGCCTTCAAAGCCTCCGGTGACTCGAGCAAATGCAAAACTTCAGTCTGGTCCATCTCCAAAAGCATGCCTGTCACCTTAGCTGCTGACTCGTGCTCCAACTGGTCAACTAGGGGATATAAAGCCTCACCAAGCATCTGCCCACCCAATAACAGATAAATCAAATCACTAAGTGCATTGAACGATCCATCCAGTGTGCTATTTATACTCCGTTAGTGAGGGGCTATAACCAAAATCTTTTTTATCTGGCATTCACTTGGGAACCACGTGCATCTAAAGCACCTTTTACTAAACCTACATGCCTATGACTTCGTTTCTCAGGAAAGGCTGGTGTAGATCAAAACATCGCCTCAAGTATCAAGAAAAAAAGGAAATGTGCTTACCGTCCTCTGCTGCTCAGTTGAAGCATTTGCAAGGGCTGTGGCCAAGGCTGGAACACCCTGCCCTCCTGCAGCATCTCGCATTGGGATGCCACCCATGTCATATGGTACTGAAAGCATACCACTGGGAACTCCCGAAAATGGAACTTCCTGCATGTTGCGACCAGGTGGATAGCGATACACGCGTCCCCTAGGAAGCATCTGAAACACAGAGAAAGGCGAACATAAATAAATGTAATAAAAGAAAATCACATATAAACATCAAGAAGAAACTCGTATGTTTCGACTGACATGCTGCTGCATCATTGGGACTGGCTGCTGGTTTTGTTGCACAGGACCGGCCCCACGTCGACCTCCTGGGCGTTGGCCCTGAGGACCCTGCTGGACCATTGGAACAAAGAAGTTTGGCATTGGAGCACCACCAGGCCTTATTCCAGGCACAAGTTGCTGTTGGTAACCAAATCCAGCCTACATGATTAAAAACAAAAATATTGAGACACTCATCAAAATTGATAAAGAAAATCAACCATATTAAAAAGACAATGCAATAAATAATTACCTGTGGAGGAATTATCGATGGAGGTGCCTGCCCATACAAAAATTGTTGTCCTAGACCTGGAGCACCAGGAGGGTACATTGGCATACGAGGTGCCACTGAAGGTGCCATTGCAACTGGCCTCATTTGAGAAAACTGAGCCTGTCAAAAATTAAATACAAACATAAGGATAAAAAGAAAGAAAGAACACCACAAAGTTCAATCGAAATTTGGGAACACTCCCAGCAGACCATACCTGCAATCTTGCTCTTCTCTCTTCTTTCCTTTGGGCAAGTGCAACATACAGAGGTTTGCTAACAACCATTTTGCCATTCATCTCAGCAAGCTGGAAGTACACAGTTGAGGTAGATAAATTGTAATTTCTGATGACATATTTTTCTGATTTTATTATTTTAAAACAACTGAGTTAAAAGACATACAGCTCGAGATGCTTCTTCAGTAGTTGAAAAGGCAACAAAACCAGAACCTCTACTATTTCCATCAGGATCCCGCATAACCTGTGAAATCAGGAGAAGAAAACCATGTTATTCCAGGTCACTGCCACCACATTTTTAAATGGAACTCTGAAATAGAAAGAGGTTCACGGACCTTGCATGAAGAAACTGTACCATACTCTGAGAATAATTCCTTCAGTTTTTCATCACTAATGCTATCGTCCAAGTTTTTGATATACAAATTGACCCCTTGAAATTTATCACTAGCTTCCTTCATACTCTGCTCAAATCTCTCCTTCAGTTCAAGTTCTCTCTCATACTTTTTCTGGGCTTTCCCAACATACCACTCCTTCTCATCGAATTTCTTTCCATTCAGATTGTCAACAGCCTTCGCAGCTGCATCTGGATCCTCAAAGTTGACAAAACCAAAACACCTTGACTTGCCATCCCCATCCCTCATCACTACAACACTGGTAATTTGTCCATGCTCACCAAAAATTTTCTTCAAATCATCTTCTGTTGTAGATTCTGATATATTTTTCACATAGACATTATTGAATTTTGTCTTATTCCAAGCGCCATCTCTCTCCTGCTTGCGAAGAAAGTGTCCCACAAATACTGGCTTATCATTAATCAGCATGCCATTTAACTTATCTATTGCACTCTGAGCAGCTTCTTCACTATCAAACTGCACAAAACCATAGCCCTTCGATTGGCCGGTGCCATCAGTGGCTATCTTGCAAGAAAGAATATTTCCGAAAGAAGAAAAGGTATCATGCAATGCTTTGTGGTCAATTGCCTTGTCCAGATTCTGCACTCATGTAAAAGAACAAAGTAGGCATGAGACCAAAATAGACATAACAACATCAAACTTCATTGGAGGGAAAGGAATCTGAGTCATTACACAAGAAAACATAGATACCTTGATAAATATATTTCCGGTTCCACTCTTTCTAATACTAGGGTCCCGGTGAGAATACATAATCCTGATGGATTTGTTGTTCAGGGGAGTGAAGTTCAGAACATCCAGTGCCCTCGCAGCTGCATAGTTAGAGAAATCAAATCAAATACAGCATAAACAATAACCGATGGGCAGCAGGGGACAGGAGCAGTGACCCTTTATGCATTAGTGAAGTTACACATAAAATAAATTTTAAAAAAAGATAAAATTTTGTCTAAGTTCCAAATAAAAGCCACCACACAAACCCCTCCAGCATAATCAATACACAAAGTAACCTATCCCATGGGAAAAATAACAGAAGACAATTTCCAAAATATTAACATCACCTAAATGTGCGACTTATCAAACTCGTCGACATAAAGCTTCGAACTGCCAAGTTCAACCAATGTAAATTATCTAATGTCGAATTCAATAATTCATTTCCACTAATCAAACCATAAACAACCAATAATTTTTCATTTCGTCCAGTATTCATATCAATAACGCAAGATTTAGCATGCATAGCGAACAACTTAGGCTAATAAAAGCACTTAGGCCAACAATATTGCAATAATCAACTAAAAATTAAAATGAAATTTTTGCGAAAGACTAACCATCTTGAGGGTTGCTATAGTTGACGTAGCCATAGCCGAGAGATCGGCGAGTACTCAGGTCTCTGCAGACCCTCACCGACACGACCTGGCCGACCTGGTTGAACAGATCGTAAAGCTGCGAGTCGGTCACATTCTGGTCCAGATCCCCAACGTACAGCGACGTCGATACGAACTGGCCAGGAGCGCCACCGGCGTTGGCGGCGACGCCGTTCGGTCCGGTCACCGGAGGCTGATGCTGAACTTGAATCTGAGCCATCACACCAAAATCACAAAACCCTCACTTCAAATTGGTTCTCTTTTTAAGATTTTTCAGTTCGGGTTATAATAAACCCTAGAGATAACAGACAACGAGAAACGAAAGTTCAATGGACCGGCGGCGATAAAGTTGAAAAAAACCTAAGGACCGGAAGTGATAATCTGGCAGATTTTTTGGTTTTTTTCTGAGGATACAGAGAAGAGGGGGCAAAAATCGGGGATAAGACGGTCCGAAATTCGAACCGGTACGACGGAAATATAAAACGAACGGGAAAACTGAAAATTATTTTTTTTGGGTTTTTGGGGTGAGGAGGGCAGAGTAAAAAACTGCACCGCACCGGCTGAGGAGTTAACTGCATAGCTTATATATGTGAGTCGGCGCGCCTGTGGGCTTGGGGAAACCCTAATTTGATTTTGGAAACTAAACATGGGCCGTCAGATCAGTGTTTCGGATTTTTAACGGCTGCAACGGTCAGGCGGGATCTGTATGATGACGTAGTGATAGAACATGTGATGCGCTAGGCCCACGAAATTGATTAGGTAAGAATATGAAATGTTTGAGTTCACGTGATGTATTAAGCTTGGCCCATAACTAAGAAAAAAGCCCAACTTGCAAAACTAATGGGCTTTTTGACCCTTGTGGGGGTTTGTGTGGCAGTTGGGTCTGATGCATTTGGGTTGGACCAAGAACGCTTCAAACTTCTTTTCTTTTTTTCACCTTGCATTTTCATGCTCTTGTCGATCGCCCAAAAACAGTACAGTTTGAATTATATTGAATACGAGTCATTCTATAGTGAGGGCCTTATATATGGCTTTTAGGTGAGATCTTATCTCTTAACTGTTGGATCAGTTTAACCAATTTGATCCAATGATTAAGAAATAAGGCATCACTCTCACTAAAGAATTCTTGTATTGAATACCAACTAGCATTTGGTCTAATGATATATATTTGTGATGAGCCGAACACTTAAATATGAATAGCTCTATTGCGTTATGTAGCTTTACAAATATTGGCCCGTTATAAAAATAATTTGTAAATATTTTAACTTTCTTTTAGTTCCAAAGATACATACATAGTAGTACAGATACTTGTCGTCACAAATTTTGGTCCATGAAAGAAGCAGGTTTGATCAGTCCTCTCTAATCGATGTATGACAAGTCAATTTATGCGGTCATATGATTGGAAGAATCGCCGCATTAAAACATTACCACATTCATATAGCTGACAGAAATTGTTGGGATTTAATTTCATGTCTGGAAAACTTGGGCGTCTTGTTGACCAATATAGGCCTTCTTTTTTGAAGTTTGGGATTTTGATAGACCAGGCCCCTTCTTATACTCTTTTGATGCATGCATAAACAAAGTTTATTGGTACACCGAAAAAAAGGTTGATTGGCAGAGTCAACTTGTGGGAATTGCCATGATTGCCATAATATATGCATGGCCCATCAAGATCTTGCGTATAGTTGCAATATATTGTGTTAGCGGACATCTAAGGTAATCTACTCGATTGTATTATAGTTAATCAGTTGCAATTAATATATATCTAATTAGCTCTCCCTCCACCATATGTATTCAAAAGCTGTTGCATGCATGCATAAGACAAACTTTCATTCTAGGATTGGGAACGTACGATTGATTACTATCATCACCTGCCATGAATGTTTGGATGTGGTCCTCGAACTCCATAATAATTAATATCGATTTTAAGAACCTAATTAACTACGAGTTTAAAATTAGCATTCGTGTAAAGGACTCTTCAAGAAAAGTTTTGAGTTCGAATCCTAACATCCGTGTACTTAATGCGTGTCCGTTTAATCTCACAGACTACAGTTTAGCTAATGACCATGATCCCATCAAATTCCACTAGCAAGGAGTTTTAAAAAACTTAAAAGAAAAAGGGAAAGCAATGATGAAAAACCAGTAGTAACGCACGTCTCTCGTAATAAGCAATGATAATGATAGGGTACTTTATGTGAAAGTCATATAAGTGGCGAATTTTATAACATTATAATTTTTTGACATTGGCGCTAGAGGACGTTTCTCTTTTCCAATTTTGAAATGCAAGATCAAAACGAAGTGTTGATAGTCTTCTTAGTAGGTTAAAAAAGAAGAAGAAGAAGGTGCGTGGACTTCAGTGTCCATATCTAGCTTCCCGCGCACTTTTAACCTAAAAAAGCTTCGATTCAACATTTCAAGTCCCTGTGGTCAAAACAGTGACACCCACCATCGCCAGAGATAGAGAAAGAGAGCTTGAAATAAAGAGCACTTAGTGACAATTGACAAACCCTTTTGGCTCCAAAAGGCATCTAGTGGTAGCATAGATCTAGAGAGGGAGAGAGATAGATCAGTACAAAGAGACACTTGCTTGCCTTTCTTCTTTCCCGAAACCAATAAGAAAAAGAAGAAGGAATTAAACCTAAAGGAAAGCACATGATATAATGTCAAAGTAAGCACATCGATCCATGATCATCTCTCCTCTCATCTCCCTTCCGGATGTAATGGGAAGAGCTCCAAAGTTCTACCTCTACCTCCCTCCACGACTTCGTCCGCCTTACAAACTACACTATCTTCTACAGAGCAATCAAATCCCCAGCTCCTACACTTTCTCTTGTACGGACTATCTTCCTCTCTTTCCCCTACTACTTCTCCCAGCTGCAACAAAAATATATGTACAAAATTTAGAAACAAAAAAAAAAACCAAGTAAAAGAAGAAGAAAACCGGCTTAACTTTGTAGCTAAGTATAGTGTAACTTACGTTGGTAATTACAGGAGTTGGTGTTCTGGGAGAATGGCTGAGGCCGAGGCTGTTGCGTTTTTGCTTCTGCCTCTCGCGTGCTTTGTGGTTTTGGAACCAGTAAAACACATTCTTGCCTTCTATCTTGCCGTACTTGCCAAGCTGAGCTGTTATTTGTTCTATCTGCTGTGCATTAGGAGTGCGCATGCCTCCCCTATACAGCATTTCTAGTATTCCTATCTGTTCTTGCGTTGGGTTCCAACGCGTCCCTCCTGGGTGCGTCTCTACCTGCACCGTCAACACTTCTTCTTAATAATTATTCTTTGAAACCATTTATATTTTTTGTTTAATAATGTCCATCGTACTTGACACATGTTATAATTATAAGTATTAACATTAGAGAGATGTACTATGTTGTCAGACTATATATCAAAAGTATTGATAATTGTTCAAATGCGTTCGCCAAATTTACAGTACGACAATTAGATGTTTGGTTATAAGTGTTGTGGACATGGAAGTACTGTATGCTTGCAAGAAAAATTTAGCATACCTGGGGGTGGGGGGAATCTTTCTTCTCCTGATGATCAGAGGATCCTAGTTTTCTAGGGCCACTTTCAGGTCTGATGAAGCTCTTGAGGTCGAAAGGAGCAAGGGCAGTGGTAGTGGTGTCGCCTGCGGTGGTGTTGGCCAGTTTGGGAGCGAGAGGGCGTAGGCGTTTGGTGCAGCCAAGAGTGAGGGAGGGTTCGTGTTCCCAGAGTCCACGTGCGAACTGGTGCACCTTCATGCTGCTTATTCCCATATGTGGTGGGTGGTGGTGGGCTGAATGATAGAGGTAAAGCAGCAATTATATAGGGAGGGCCGAACACAGACACAGAAGCTCATGATATCAGAGAATTAAAGGTGACAAAGTGGGAAATGAGGTGGTGCTTGGAACAAGCGAGACCAAATGATGAGGTGCGGTTGACTTGGGATTTTCCACACTAAAAAAATATGAAAAAGAGAGAGCAGAGAGAGAAAGAGAGAGAGAAAGAGAGAGACAATAATTAATAGGGCAAGCAAAGCAACAATATGTATGAGAGATGAGAGTATGAGTATGTGAAGGGTTAGCTAGCTATGAGCGTGTGGGTGTGTAGCTAAGCTGTGTATGTGCGTTTGGGTTGGCCCGTCAAATCGGGTCGTTTTTTTCTTGCTTTCATGATAAGGTGTCCATGCTTTTCGGTGGCCTCTTTGGCTCTCTCTCCAGCTTTTTTTCACTATAAAGCGAGGGGGCTCATAAGAGGGAGGAGAATAATAATATAAAGAAAAAAGATTCCTCCAATCCCAAAACTTGAAAATGGGAACTAGCCTTTGCCTTTTTGCCATTTGCCCTTTTGCCATTTGCATGCCCTTTGCTTTTCAAATTTCAAGATACGACATATCATATAAACAAATATAACCAAAACAACTGAACTCAACATGAATGAATGCCGTCGTATCTAAGTCTTAATTTTCACTCTTTTAGTCGTATACAACGTTGAAAAAACTTACACACAACTCCAACCTAACTTATCTTATCCCTATCTGACTCACTGCATGCCAAGCCACAGCCAAATAGCCAATATATCCTTCTGGCTCTTTCTTTTGGGAACTGTACGTAGTTCCATTTTCCCAAATTGTATAAATAAAAAAACCCTCACAAGTTCCCACCCCCACTTTCTGCCCAAATTCAATTTTTGTTTGCCAATACCTTGACACCGCCAAAGCCAATAGGAGGGAGCAACATTTCCTGTATAAATATATTTATATATCTATACGATTTGTTTTTAATAATCAAAGCGATAAAATTTTATTGATGAAAGAACAATATCTAGAAGATTAGGCGAGTATCTCTATACATAAGGGCTCGGTTGTCGGATTAACCAATAACTTATCCTTTTTACGCATAGACCTCTCTTCTAATATATATCTTAAGTGTATATATATATATATATGTGTGTGTGTGTGTATATACGATTTTATAAACGCATGGATGTGTGATGAACTATAAAATTCCCAGTCCAGCATAGAATGATGAGTTTAGGGTAAAATTGATTAACTGGCTTTACAAGCAGGGGGGGTCTAGTTAATTACTGCGGTCAATCAGGCACACAGTTAATTGTTGGAGAGTAGGTAATTGAGCATTACACGTGTGGTCGATTGGGCAGAGATATACTTGATTCAACTAGGAACACATTACACGTGTACAGTCAAGAATCATGATCACAGACACCTGCGTGTGCATGCGGTTGAGACGAAGTTCCATTAATTTGATGTTGCATGAGGGCCCAAAAAGTACGGAGTTTGTGAATGAAATCTAGTTTCTTTCTTGTATGAATGAATATGCTTCAGAGACATAATTTGCAGTGCTTTAATTATGCGGATTTGGAACAACACGCGTACGTCGTGGAAGCCATTTTTCTCCAGAAAAAAGATTTACCATGAACTGTGTCAGTGTCACTGCTCTGCAAAAGCACAACAACTGCAGAGAATATTTAACTCTTGTTCATAAAAAAACAAAAACGAAAACAAAAAAACACTATTGTTCACGGAATTAGGTTAGTAAAAGTCAGTTCGTACCCTTAAGCTAAGCTGGTATTAGAAACAATACCAAATGTGAATGTGGATATATATAATTGAAATTAAAGGCAATGACAATGAGGCATGACAAATAATATTATCTTAATTTTATGCACCGATGTCGACAAAATCTTTCTTAATCCCCTATAAATTAGGGTTCATGTGCCAAGATCGGTTGCATGATGTGACACTCTTCCCTTATCTCCAAACCTTAATTAGATTATATGTGAAGAATTTTCTTTCTGTTTTTTTTTTTAATAAAAAATTTGAAGTAAAAGTCTTGGATGAATCAGCTTGGAGGGAATTAGTTAAGCTGATTTCCCCCTTATGGTAATTACCCAGCTTCTATTTGCCAAAAGCTGCATCATTATGTGCAATTCAAAAGCAACACTAAAACTGAAACAAAATTTAACTGCAAAACTCAAAACAGCATGAAATTTCTGTAGTTTTAACGTTCACATTCACATTTCCTGTGAGTAATGCAACACTTGTTTTACTGTGCTTTATCTATACGTGTGACATTTTGTTTCTGGGTTATAAATATGGACAAATTAACTTTAATAGTTACTACAAGATTATCAAAAAAACTTTAAGCTACCACATGTTCGGTTTAGTTTGCGGACCAGCTAATTTCGTTGTTGTGAACTCGTGGTGGACTTTAACATGGACAACAAATCTCAACCAAATCTGCACTTTAGCCATTCTCCAACATACGACAGTTTCATTACATGAACTAATTGTTTTATTATTAAATTTCTTATCGCTCCTCAAAGTCGTGCTAGGTAGAAATTGCCAGATATATACATATGTTAGGATTAAGATAGCTTAGATTCCTTCAGATACAACAAAGACAATATAATTGCTCAAGAAATCGTATTTCTTTTTATGGAAGTGTTTCTAGGTAGATAATAAAAAATGGAATTGTTTAAGCAGAAAAACTTACGTGCAACAAAAATATCACTATTTTACTATTCCCGACCAATAATACTATAGCACGTGGAAAAGTTATCTCGCGTATTATTGGTAAGGGACAGCAAAAAGTAATATCCCCGCTGCATGAAAGCAAACACCCTGTTTAAGGTGTACCATCCGATATACATGGGACGGGTGGAAAGATTCATGTTTAAGTATAATATTATAATCAACATCAATATAATATATATGATTGAATGACTTTATCTTTAATGATACATTAGCAATCTGGAATGGCATTACCTTGAAAATATTTTGGCAGTACTGACTATAATTAGTAAGTTATGTGAAAAATCAAGATGTACTGGGTTTTTTAAAAAAATTAAAAATAAAAAATAAAAAATAAAAGATTTATTTAGGGACTAGTTGTAATTAGCCCTTATCAGGGGACAGTGAGCCTGACCCTCTTGACCCTCTCGTCTTTGATTTGATGAAAACAAAATTGAATTATGTAAGCAAGGTAGGAATATTTACTTGTACTATGTGGTGGCTAAAATAAGAGTGACAGAAGAGGTAAGTTTGCGTGTACTTTTGCATGGTGAAAAATGAAAATTGGATACTCCCACAAGTGGAAGATCGTTTTTGAAAGGTGAGGTGACCAATTACTTGTAATTTCATTGGACACTTGTCATTCTACTTTGACGTATATGCGTGCGATAATCATACCATCGTTGAAATTAATTAAAAGATTATGAGCTAATAATCTAATAGCTAATGGCTATTAGCTACACATGAGTCACACGTAAGCATAAATATATATAAATTTCTTGTATCATTACATCCTATCAGCTCCCTTCAATCACGACAGCATAAATAATTTCCTCACTTAACATAAATCTGCTCCTACTTCCTACTTAGGTAGGTGTCCATCATTCTGCACCTAACCCGTTCTATGTCGATCCATAAAACCAAAAATTACTATTTTTAAGGTTACTTTAGATAATTACATGCATGCAAGTAACAAGGACCACTCATTAGACCTTTTTAATTTTACCCTCCTGCTGCAGATATTTTAAGCTAAGCAATTAGTTAACACAGGATTAGGACATTTCCCCTTCAAACTTGTCAAGCTAATAATTTGAATTATTTGTGGGCCTTACGTTTGAAGAAGCAAAGAAATTGAACACATTGCAGAGATAATGTTTCCCAACATACAAACGATTGGCCTTATTTTTAACGACTATCTCGAAAGCTTTTCTTTGAATTACCAAATGAAGGGCCAGCAGGATGCATGATGCTCATTGATATTGGCCAAAAATGTCACATCCAATCAAGCATTATTACTATTATTATTATTATTATTATTATTATGATGATCTGCGGACATCCCAATTCATGAAAACATATACTGATCAGATCAGAGATCAGATCAGATGGCCATAGGAATAGGAAGAGGATGATGACTTTGCTAATTAATTAAGTAGCACAAGATTCATATAAATAATTTGATTTGAAGGGTTATTTTGTCGGTCAAAGAAAAAGAGGAGATGCAAACAAATTGGGGTGATGAAGTTGGGTGCCATGATAGGAGTGGGAACCCACGCAGTGGAAGAAGCGGTGGGAATCCATCATTAGCCAAGACAATGCCATCATTTGCACGTGTCAATGGACCACATTCAACTCCCATCAATCTCTTGTTTATTTCTCACTCCCTCTACTCTCACACTAAAAACCAAACTGTAGCTTTAAAATCAAAACTCTTTCCTCCCTATTTTGACTCTTCTATCAAAGGGTTGTGACGAACGAATGCATCAACAGTTGATAGCTATTTATATATTAGTGCATATACATCAATATGTATCAGTAAGCTTGGCATGCACTCGTAGACTATTTCCCTTAACCTTTAGAGGAAGGCATTACTAACTAGTTATTGCGACATGTTTTTTGTTTATACCCTCTCCTTTTTTTTTTTATCTTTGTTATCTTCAAATTATATGTACATGGAGTTGTAGAGTAGTGATAGATAAAGGTCATGTGTCAGCTACTTTTGTGCTTAATGACTTTTAGATTTTCTATTCCTCATCTAGGGTTGGAAGCCTTTTTAACTTGGAAATTGATGGAAAGGGATTGTTGTGATCGATGCAAATGTCACTGACTAAACCTTCCACTCTCTCTCTCTATCTTTATTATGCCAAATAAAGTGAGAATTGGAGAAGCCATCATTGTTGGGATTGAAATATATTCCCAACTAGATTTAGATGGGGCATCTTTATACACACTGAGCTCATGACTTTATGGATCTGCAGTGTTTCTTTTTCATACTCCTTTATCTTTTTCAATATATATATATATATTATATAAATTTTTATCTCAAGAGAGAAAGAAGAAAGAAAGTTGAGGGGGGTGGGATGAAGAACATGATCGCATGGTGAGAACGGTCGTGCCATGTAAGGGTACGTGGG